AGTTGTCTCCTTGACATTTTGATCTCCCCAATAGTGCTTCAGCCTTTGTCCATTGACCTTAAACGTGCTCCCATTTTTTTCATTCGTAATTTCAATAGCTCCATGGGGATACACATGTGCAACCTTAAAAGGTCCTATCCACCTCGATTTAAGCTTGCCTGGAAAGAGCTTGAGCCTTGAGTTAAATATAAGGACTTGCTGACCTTGTTCAAATACCCTTGGAAGGATCTTTTTATCATGCCATTTCTTTATATTTTCCTTGTAAAGTTTGGCATTTTCATATGCATTCATTCTGAATTCTTTCAGTTCATTTAGCTGTAGCATTCTTTTCTGTCCAGCTGCTTGTTCATCCAGATTCAGCTTTGATATAGCCCAGTATGCCTTATGCTCTAACTCAACAGGTAGGTGGCATGCCTTGCCATAGACAATTCTGTATGGGGATGCACCTAATGCTATTTTGTAGGCAGTCCTGTATGCCCATAATGAGTCATCCAATCTGAATGACCAGTCCTTCCTTGAAGGATTTACCACCTTCTCCAAGATCCTTTTGATTTCTCTATTGGACACTGATAGTCCTCAAGAGTTGAGGCCCATTAAGTGCAAATTGTTCCACAAAACCCATGTTTTGGTTATAAATCACGCCCTTTAACCTTCTTCTTTTCATATAGAGCAACTGTTTTGAATAGTGGACCAGAGCAATGCCGAAAGTGGGAATTAAGGTAGACCTGGAGCAAATTTAACATTATCTTTTTCACATATGACTATTGGGTTAGTTTGCTTTGTTCAGGACACCTAAGGCCCAACAAAAGGAACCACAAAATGAAGAGAGAAGAAGGAGTGTTGCGCAGAAAGGAAAAAGAAGTCTGCTATAGTACAACAGCAGTCAAAAGAAGCAAGGGGGAGCCGCCACGTCAGCTACAGCAGAGAAGGTGAAGGTGCTGCCTCTGCTACAGTACGAAAGCAAAGAAGCTGAGCAATGGGGAGCCGCCACGTCAGCTACAGCAGAAGGAGTGGAGGTGCCACCTTGAATCCGATACTCCTACTCACAAAGGGAGCCAAAAGCAAGGGGGACCACTTCCATTTAAGGCCAAGCTGGCAAGAAGCAAAGCTACCATTGGAGAGGATTCAGACAAAGCACGACCCTTGATGAAAGGAACAATGGAGATCAAATGAAGAACCCTATAAAAGGAACAAGCAATCCTCATAAAGGGAGGATCAGCACCCATCCTAGGACCGGTTGTCTCTTTGTTTTCTTATTTCTTGTAAAAATGCTCACTAGGAGCTAATTTCCTCTAAGTAGGTGAGGGTTCCATAGAAGTAATCCCTTTTGTCTTAGGATAGCTTTGTAAGGAACACATATTTTATAAATGAATTTTGAGTTGCTCTTTGGTTTAAATTATTGATTTTGTGAAACCCTTTGGGCTGGCAACCTCATCCCGGGACCACTCGGTTGATGAAACACTGACAAAGGCGTGTGGAGCATTCTCGAAATCCTGGGGTAGTTTAGCCTGAAGAAAGGAGGGATAAACACCTGGAATGGGGAGCACTGCCATGCGAATCCATGCTCTTTTGAGAAGGCAGCATGGTTTCCTTGCATATAACTCCAAGTACTATGGAGTAACGTCGAGAGTAAGGCCTTACCCTCTGCTTACCTATAGCAAAACAAGGGAAGGAGCAAAATCCACTTGTAAAATATGCTACCAGGCAGGGTTAACCAAAGGGATGAAAACATGGAACCCGTAACACCTACTTGATCTTTTTCTTTCTGAAATTAATCTTAACTCAATTCCTATCACAACCTTTTCCTCACGATAACTGAACTGTGTTTTACTAGCTGATGCTCTTACTTTCATTTCGTTGACTGCTCTTAAAGTTACTTCAATTGATGCCATTTTATTCGATGACCATGCTAAGTCATTCACTGCTCTCATCTGGTTCAGAATGGTTAACATTGTTTAACTAGCTGCCCAGAGATTGCTCTTTGTGAAGCTTAGCTGAGAATAGTGATTTCTTTTATCGCTCCATTTTACAAATTAAGTTTCCTTTAGCGCTTCTTACTTCACAACTGCTCCCTGAGGACGATAAATCTGGGGCTATAATACCCTATATTGCTTGACACGTACGCTTGCGTATAGTTGAAGAGGGTTGCTCTTAGTCAGAGTAGATTGCTCCTGTTGGCAATCCTGATTACTACTCTACACTCTTGCTCTCTGAAAGAAATATTCCCGAGCAACTCTCGGTTCGACCAAGCAGACACTTCAACTTGCCCACTGGTCTGGGGGTGGTATGCTGCAGAAATGGCTTCCTTCATCACTTATGATTGCTCTTGGTGTGCCAAACCTTGGGAAGATATTCTTTTTAAGGAACTTCCAAACCACTTTGGAGTCATTGGTGGGTAATGCTGCTGCTTCTACCCATTTAGAGACGTAGTCCACTGCCACCAAAATGTATTGATTTCCAAATGAAGGTGGGAATGATCCCATGAAATCTAGCCCCCAAACGTCAAATAGTTCAACTTCCAAGATAGGGTTGAAAGGAATTTCATGTCTCATTGATACATTTCCAGTTCTTTGGCACCTATCACAACTTGAAACAAAAGTATGTGAGTCTTTAAATAAAGAGGTCCAGTAAAAACCTGATTGCAGCACCTTTGCTGCTGTTCTGACTCCAGCATAGTGGCCACCATAGGGAGATGAGTGACAATGTTCAAGTATAGATTGCATCTTGATGGTCCTCAAAAGTTGAGGTCCATTAAGTATATATCACTCCACAAAACCCCTGTTTTGGTCACAAATCACTCTCTTTAACCTTCTTTTTCCATGAAGAGCAATTGTCTTGAAAAGTGGACCAGAGCAATACTTGAAATGGGAATTAGAGTAGGCCTGGAGCAAATTGACATTATCTTTTTCACATATGATTATTGGGTTGATTTGTTTTGATCAGGAAACCTGAGACCTAATAGAAGGGCCCACACATTAAGGAAAAGAAGGAAGAATGTTGCGGAGGAGGGAGCATAAAAGCCTGCTACAGTACAAAAGCAGTAAAAGGCAGCAATCAGGAGCCTCCACGTCAGCCACAACAGAGAAGGTGGAGGTGTCTCCCTGATTCCGAAATTCTCACCCGAGAAAAAGCACCAAGAGCAAGGGAGACCACTGCCATGCAGAGCTGAGCTGGCAGAGAGCAGACCGGCTATTGGAGAGGATTTGAAGAAGGCACAACCCTTGATAAAAGGGACGATGAGGATCTGACAGAAGAACTTTATAAAAGGAAGAATCAACCTTCATGAGAAAAAAGAGGGGGGACGCCATTCGAGGGCTTGCCATTTATTTTTCCTGATATTTTTCTTTTGTAATGCTCGCTAGGAGCTAACTTCCTCTAAGTAGGTGAGGGTTCCATAGAAGTAATCCCTTTTGTCTTAGGATAACTTTGCAAGGAACACATATTTTATGAATGAATTTTGAGCTGTTCTTTGGTTTAATATATTGATTCTGTGAAACCCTTTGGGCTGGCAACCTCATCCCGGGACCACTCGGTCGATGAAACACTGACAAGGGCATGCAGAGCAGTCTCAAGATCTTGGGGTAGTTCAGCTTGAAGAAAGGAGGGAGGAACACCTGGAATGAAGAGCACTGCCATGTGAATCCAGGCTCTTTTGAGAAGGCAGCATGGTTTCCTTGCATTTAACTCTAAGTTCTATGGAGTAATGTGGAGAGTAAGGCCTTGCTCTTTTACTTGCTTGTGGAAAAACGACGAAATGAGCATAATCCATTTTTAAAATATGCTACCAAGCAGGGTTAACCAAAGGGATGAAAATATGGAACCCAAAACACCTACTTAACTCTTTCTAAACTCAATCTCACATCAAACTTTTGTTATAACTTTCTTCACGACAACCAAATTGTGCTTATCTATTGCTGCTTTTATAATCATTTCACTAATTTCTTTTGAGTTACTTCAATTTGATGCCTTGATATTCGATGACTATGCTAAGTTATTCACTGCTCTCATCTAGTTCAGAATGGTTAACATTGTTTAACTAGCTGGCTAGAGATTGCTCCTTGTGAAGCTTGGTTGAGAATAACTACTTTCCCTTCATTTTTCTAAGAATTAAGTTTCCCTGAACGATTCCTTCTTCACAACTGCTCCCTGAGGACGATAAATCTGGGGCTAACAACACCCTGTATTGCTTGACACGTACGCTTGCGTATAGTTGAAGAGGGTTGCTCTCCGTCAGAGTAGATTGCTCCTGTTTGCAATCTCGATTATCACTCTGTATTATTGCTCCTTAAAAATATCCCTGAGCAGCTCTCGGTTTGACCAAGCAATTGGCGCCGTTGCCGGGGATCATTTGGCAAGAAAGGGCGTTTTTAAGAAAACATTGTTGTTTGTGTTTTTGAAATCTTTTTTGTTTTTATTGTGTTTGACTTCTTCCTATTGTATGAGCACAGAACCTACAGAACTTGGACTGGAAATAGTACATTTTGATCCAGAACCCGAGAGAACCTTCAGAAATAGAAGAAGAGTTCAAAGGTTAAGAAATAATACAATGGAGGAAGTTCTAAATAATGGTGAAAATGGTAACAATGAAAATAATAATCATGAGAATGAAGAAGGACAGAATGGAGGAAGAGGGCCATCGTTGAATGATATGGCTGCTCCCTTCAGAAATGGTCCAGAACGAGGCTATGATCCTCCTTCTCTGGATGTCCCGAACTTTGAAATCAAACCTGCAATGTTCCAAATGATTATGAATGCTTGTCAATTCCATGGATTGCCTATGGAAGACCCCCACAGTCATTTGGACAACTTTACTGAGATAGTTGATAATTTGAAAGTTCATGGTATCTCAGAGGAAAATATGCGAATGAGGCTGTTTCCATTTTCCCTAGCAGGAAAAGCCAAAGAATGGAGGAGAACATTGCCCCCAAATTCCATCACTAGTTGGGAGCAACTAGCTGAACAGTTTGTCACCCGATTTTTCTCCCAAGCAAACAAGCCCAAGTGAGGGCTGATATAGCATCTTTCCAAATGTATGATGGAGAAAGTCTTTATGAAGTGTGGGAGCGCTTTAAGGAATTAATACGAATTTGCCCAAATCATGGAGTTTCTGATTGGGGCATTTATCACACGTTTTATCATGGCTTAACCCCACCATTGAAAGCCGCTGTTGATGCGGCTGCAGGGGGAGATCTTTTGGATTTTACTTATCCGGAAACCTACCGGTTGTTGGAAAAACTTTCAAAAAAACATGTTCAATGGCCTTCCACACGGAACAATGCTTCCAAGAAAGCATGAGTTCTTGAGCTAAGCTCAACTGATGCTCTTTCAGCAAAGATGGCTTCGCTCTAGAATACTATAAAAAATTGGAAGCCCATGGAACAGAAAAAACCAACCGAGCAACTTCTCTTGACTCAATCAAGTCAAAGTTGCTCCATTTGTGGAGGTCCTCATGAATCTGAGGACTGTAACAATTTGGCTGTTGTGTGTTATGCAGGTGGTTACGATAATAACAACAGGAGCAATGATAATTATCAAGGGAACAACAACCGGGGATGGGAGAGTTAGAATAATGCTGGAGGTAGTGGAGGAAACTACCAGAACCGACCCCCATATCCCAGGCAGAACCATCAAAACTGGGATAAGGGTGAAGGGAAGTCCCAATCCTTTGAGACTTTTGTCAAGGAATACATGAATCTGAACAGTGCAGCCATGAGGAGCCTGGAGACCCAAATTGGTCAGTTGGCTGGAGCACTCAAACAGAGACAACCAGGGACACTCCCTAGTGACACAGAAAAACCTTCCTAGGAAAACCAGGAGCGTTGTAATGCTATAAGCTTACGAGATGGAAAAACTCTGCCACCTCCAGATTTAGTGGCACGATCTCGTAAACGCGAACTAGCAAGACAACCTATGGAAGAAGGAGTTGAGGAAGCTACTGACCCTCAACCCCTTGAAGCTCAGACATAATCAAGGGAGAAGGTCCAGAACGATGATCTCACTGAAGTCACACCAGTTACCACAACATCTGGAGCAGATGTTGGAGCAATGAAAGACAATGAACCAGTTTCAGTCCCAGCTATGTTCCACCATGCAAAAGGAGGAGTGAACCAATTGAGCCTCCTTTTCCACAGAGGTTAAAAAAACAACATGAAGATAGGCAGTTTAGCAAGTTTTTAGACTTGTTAAAACAGCTTCACATAAATGTCCCTCTGGTAGAGGCTCTGGAACAAATGCCTTCGTATGCAAAATTTATGAAGGACGTTTTGTCAAAAAAAGAAGGATTGAGGAATTTGAGACTGTAGCCCTTATTGAAGAATCATGCAAATACCTGACTAAGATTCCTCCCAAACTGAAGGACCCTGGAATATTCACCATCCCGTGTACAGTTGGGAAGAACTACCTTGGTCGAGCACTTTGTGATCTGGGCTCGAGTGTAAATTTAATGCCAGCTTCTATCTTCAAACAGCTTGACATAGGAGCAGCAAGACCAACCACAGTCACTCTTCAGCTTGCAGACCGATCCATAGCCAAGCCAGAAGGAAAAATCGAGAATGTCCTTGTCCAAGTAGACAAGTTCATTCTACTAGTTGACTTCATCATCTTGGATTTTGAAGCAGACCAAGAAGTTCCAATAATTCTGGGCAGACCATTCCTGGCCACTGGTGATGCTGTCATAAACGTCAGAAAAGGCGAACTATTCATGAGTGTAAATGGAGAGGAGGTGAAGTTCAATGTCATGAAAGCAATGAAGTTTGATGAAGATAGCACTGAGGAATGCTCTAGCATTTCAACTCTTGACTTGATCATAAGAGAAGAACAGCAGGAGCAGTTGCAGTCAGAAATAGGCATGAAGGACTTTGACGAATTGGAGGAATACCTTGCGTCCATTAATTCCATTCATACTGGGGACAAGAAAGAAAGGATCTTCGAATACTTGAACCGATCGGAGCAAGTTTAAAGACCAAATTTGCCCTCAGTAGAGGAACCGCCTACCTTGGAGTTAAAGCCTTTACCTGAACACCTGAAGTATATTTATTTGGGAAAAGAAAACACTCTCCCTGTGATTATTTCTTCTTTACTAACCCATGAACAGGAACTTCAGCTCACACAGAAGCTTAAGGACTATAGAGGAGCAATCGGTTGGACCATGGCTGATATAAAGGGAATTAGCCCAACAATCTGCATGCATAAAATTTTGCTCCAAGATCCTGACAGCTCATCTGTGGAGCATCAAAGGAGGCTGAACCCCAATATGAAAGAGGTGGTAAGAAAGGAAATCATCAAATGGCTTGATGCAGGTATAATATATCCTATCTCTGACAGCAAATGGGTTGCCCCTGTGCAATGTGCTCCAAAAAAGGGTGGCATCACTGTAGTTGAAAATGAAAAACATGAATTAATAGTCACCAAAAAGATAACTGGGTGGAGGATTTGTCAAGACTATAGAAAGTTGAATAATGCGACCCGTAAGGATCATTTTCCCCTCCCTTTTATTGACCAAATGCTGGATCATCTGGCTGGAAAAGAATTCTTTTGTTTCTTGGATGGGTATTCTGGATACAACCAAATCCCGGTTGCTCCTGAAGACCAACACAAAACCACTTTTACATGTCCATTTGGGACTTTTGTATTCAGAAGAATGCCATTTGGGCTGTGGAATGCCCCTGCAACTTTTCAAAGATGCATGTTTGCTTTATTCACTGATTTAGTAGGAGAAGCAGTAGAGATTTTCATGGATTATTTTTCTGTTATTGGCTGCTCTTTTTCTACTTGTCTTAATAACCTTGAACATGTATTGGAAAAATGTGTCAAAAGCAATTTAGTGCTGAACTGGGAAAAATGCCATTTCATGGTAAGAGAAGGCATTGTGCTAGGACACAAAATCTCAAGCAAAGGTCTCGAGGTGGATAAAGCCAAGGTGGAGGCAATTGAGAAGCTACCTCCCCCGACCACAGTGAAAGGAATAAGAAGCTTCTTGGACATGCCGGTTTTTACAGGCGTTTCATTAAGGACTTCTCCAAGATTGCAAAGCCACTCTGTGAACTCCTGGAGCAAGATAGGAAGTTCAATTTTGATGAAAAATGCATGACAACCTTCTTGGAACTCAAGTCAAGGCTGGTGTCTGCACCTATCATTCAAAGCCCAGATTGGAGTCTTCCTTTCGAATTGATGTGTGACGCCAGCGATATCGGCTTGGGAGCAGTACTTGGGCAACGGAAAGACAAAATCTTTAGAACTGTGTACTACGCCAGTAGAACTCTTACTCCAGCGCAGGTCAACTACACAGTGACGGAGAAGGAGATGTTGTCAGTTGTGTTTGCATGCGACAAGTTTCGGTTATATCTGATATGCTCCAAAGTTACAGTATTCACTGATCATTCAGCAATCAAGCAACTCTTTGCCAAAAAGGATGCCAAGCCAAGATTGATTAGATGGATACTGTTGCTCCAAGAATTTGACCTTGAAATCAAGGACCGGAGAGGAGGTGATAATAAAGTGGCTGACCACTTATCTCGATTAGAGAGGATAGCCTCACAAGAAGGAGATCAAATCAAAGAGACGTTCCCTGATGAGCAATTGCTAATGATCTCTGAAAAACATGCTCCTTGGTTTGCAAATATTGCAAACTACCTAGCTGCTGGAATAGAGCCATACCACTTAAGCTACCAAGGGAGAAGAGATTCCATCATGAAGCCAAGAAATCACAAACACTTTTTCCTAATTTTTGAAATCACCATTTAGGTAAAAAGTTGCCCACCCTCTTCTAAAATGAGTAAAATTATATTTCTCACAGTTCATGGGCTTCTTGTAATTTTTTTTTTTTTTGGAGAATGGCTTCTTGTAAATTTGATTGCTTGTGTATAAACTAATTTGGATTACAGTTGCGCAATGTTTAACTCTGAATTGAGATTGATGGGTTTTTTTTTTCTTTTTCATGGAGTGTTTCATGAAAGAATGGTTTTTATGAAGGTACTACTAAGTTTATGTGCTGGTTTTGTCTTTCAGTACTTATCAGTGCTACTGCCAGTTATATCTTGTTTTGCTACAAGAATTGCCATTGGAGGTGAGTGTAAGTTTTACTCAAAACGATTTAATAGCATACCAAGGGTGAATTTTTGTTTTCATCTTGGGGAACTAGACTACTGGTTGAAAATCAACCGAAGAAGAATTTGAAGCCCATGTTATATTTGATATATGACATCAATGAGGAATTGAAAACTGAAATGTGGTTTTTTATCCGAATGTGTATTCATATGGTTTGAACAATCGACAATTAAAGTTCACAATTATAGGATACCTGAAATGTGGTTTTTTAACCCAATGAAAGTTCAACATGGATTTTGCTATATACTTTGGTAGTCTATCTTGCAGCCAAGAAGGCTAGTATTATAATAAGCCATTAATTATGGCATATGAGGCTGGTTCTTTTTTCTTTTTTTCTTTTTTCAATAGTATAAAAATTAGTCAACTTTGTAGATGTTGCCAATGATAGACACGTGTCAGGTAGATACCATAAACTACATACGCAGAAAAAGAAAAAGGTCATATTTGAAAGGCCCTGACATGGAAGAAATTTTACATAGGTTAGTCTTCGGCAAGATAACATAGGGGATAATTGCGCATTTTATATAAAAAAAAAATCATGAGGCATTTGACATGGCCTGTATCTATCTAAGTGATTGTGTACAAGTTATCTTGATTGAGGAAATAGATCATCCTCTGTAAATCAAGATAGACTAGAATAACATTATTTTACATTTTCACATGGTATATCGTGCTAGGGATGGATTTATTCGAGTGAAAAGTTTATCTGAATAACTTCCTTTGGACTTTAGTCAACATGTTCTTCTGACAATTTTCATTTGCAGATAACCTTTTAAGATAGTCAGGAGCTTAATCTCCATTTTGTTGGCATCTTTGTGCTGCTCTAAGAATACTGTTTACTTTTGACAATAATTTGTTTCCAGATTTGGCGAGTCTTTGATGTCATTTTATCTTGGTTTTGCAAAGCATTACCCATGAAGAGAGGATTTAAGAAAGTCATGTACTGATATTTAATTAACAACGAAGCTGTCAAGGTACCAACTTGTAGGTCAGTAACCAATTAAAATGTGCTAATACATATTATTGTACCAATTTACATAGTCACAACTAAGAGAGTCCTGTTAATACATTCTACACCATCATCATTTGGATATTAAAAAACAAGTCTGATAGCAATTGTTGCATAGAATTTAAAACATTATAAACCACTGATCCATCAAAATTTGAATACCATCAATATTCAAATAACAATCATTTTAAAAACAGTCACTTAGTATTGATGAAGAAATCCTATTTTGATATGACACGACCAAAACTTCCAATTGGTTCATATTGAACAAAATCATGTCATATTCAACTAATTAGGAATTCCATCACTAGGGAATGATCATTCACCTTGTGAAGCAATAGCTGATCCTTGGATACTAGTATTCTGTCTACAAAAAACATATACATGTGTAAGAATTCGATATATATGTCACTGCTATCTGCCAGGGCTGCATTATGGATCTTGTAATAATAGCCCAGAATGAAAAGCACCACGAAAACAATAACAAGGACATAAGACATTGCTATTTCCTGAACAAAGTAGTCAGATACAGAAAAATGAAGACATTATTATCAAGCACCTAACTTCCTCTCAAATTTCCCAGCATAATGAGAAGCCACAACATTTGTGAACAACATATCTAATCAGCGAGCAGGAACCATTGGCGGCAGATGATGTTGCTTTTATATTGTAAAATGGGTACAGTTCATACCTAATTTTACAAAAACCAGAAATGCACTGCGCCAGGCCATACAGGGTCTTGGACTTGCTGTGACGAACTTCTTATGTGTCTGGGAACTCGCAGCTTCTGCTACTAAATCATTCAACATGCTGGCCAATGATTGTAATTCACAGGTCCTCTAATGGTGTTTCTCTCAAACACTCAACCACACAAGCAATTCTCTGAATATACCTCTTTGTATTACTGTATATGCCAAGTGCTTTTTGAAATGGTTTACATAGTGCTATTTATAAGCAATAGCAAATAACTAAGAATACTAATGACCAACTTAGGAAATCTAAACATAATAATGACTACTTCTTAGAAACTTTAAACTCATTAATGTCTACTAACAAATTCCTAAGGGACACACCCCTTTACCACAAAACTCTTCATTTTCTATTTTCTTCAATTAAATAAAGTTTAAACCCAACAAAACTCCCCCTTAAACTTTAATATCTCTACCGTCCTTCATTCCCATCTTCTTCTTGCAATTCTCAAACAACAACGTCGGCAGGGGCTTTGTGAAAATATCTCCAACTTGATCTCGGCTTGCAACATGAGTGAGCTCCACCTTTCCTTCTCTGACTTGATCTCGGATGAAATGAAACCTGACATCAATATGCTTACTTCTTTCATGATTGACCGGGTTCTTTGCTAACTCGATCGCTGATTTGTTGTCAACTCGGATCTCGGTTGGACCGACTTGCTCTTGCTCCAGCTTGCTCAACAGGTTTCTCAGCCAAATTGCATGACAAACACACCAGGAAGCAGCAACGTACTCGGCTTCGCATGTAGATAAAGTCACAATGGGTTCCTTCTTTGACACCCAAGTAAACGCCGTGTTTCCCATGAAAAACACATAGCCAGCCGTGCTCTTCCTGTCATCCACATCTCCACACCAGTCACTATCCGAGTAGCCTGTTAGCTTGTACTTGTTTGACTTTGAATAATGAAGTCCTTGCGAAATTGTTCCTTGAACATATCTTAAAATCCTCTTTGCCGCCTTCCAATGAGTATAGCTCGGCTCTTCCATAAATCGGCTTATTATTCCAACACTCAGACATAGATCCGGTCTCGTACATGTCAAGTACCTCAAACTTCCAACTAGACTACGATAAACACTCGGATCTACCTTTTCTCCTCCATCATATCTTGAAAGTTTAACGTCGGGTTCCATGGGGGTTGAAACCGGGTTGCAATCACTCATTTTGAACTTTTCTAAAATTCCTTTTGCATAGGCTTCCTGAGAGACGAAGATCCCGGATTCATCTTGTCTAACCTCCAAACCAAGAAAGTATCTCATCAGACCGAGATCCGTCATCTCAAACTCCTTCGTCATTTTCTTCTTAAAATCTTGATCATTCCTTCATCATTACCCAGGAAAATCAGATCATCAACATATAGAGCAACAAGTAGAATTTTACCTCCTTTCTTCTTTACGTAGAGTGCGTGTTCATACGGACATTGTTCAAGTCCATCCTTCTTGAAGTAATTGTCAATTCTCGTGTTCCAGGCTCTTGGGGCCTGCTTCAACCCATACAAAGCTTTCTTCAGTCTCAACACTTTTCTTTCTTGTCCGGCTTTCATGAATCCCAGAGGTTGTTCCAGATACACCTCCTCCTCGAGTACTCCATTTAAGAATGCCGACTTCACGTCCATCTGATAGATCGGCCATCCGAACTGGGCTGCTTGAGAAAATAACAGCCTGATTGTCTCCATTCTTGCTACGGGAGCGAACACCTCATCATAGTCAATGCCGACCTTCTGCCTATACCCTTTCGCCACCAGCCGGGCTTTGTATCTTTTGATCTCCCCTTTAGCGTTCATTTTCTTCTTGTACACCCATTTCACACCAATGGGCCGACTTCCTTTGGGAAGCTCGGCTAACTCCCATGTCTTGTTCTTTTCTATAGCTTTAATCTCTTCCTCCATGGCTGATTAACATTTCTCATCTCGGATTGCCTCTTCAAAGCTTACTTCTTCAGAATCTGCCAACAAACATACCAAGTGTGCTTCACTGGTGGAATCATACAGATCTTGTAGACTCCTCATCCTTGGTTGTCTCAACTCTTCTTCACTATCAGAATCATTTGGATTTTCTAAAATGCAGGTCGAGGGTTGTCCGACCTCAATTGATCTAATTTCGGGTTCCACATTCACCTCGGATGGACTACTCCAGTCCCAAGCATCTTCTTCATTCACCTTCACATCTCGGCTAACCATCACCCTTTTACTGACGGGATCCAACAACTTATATCCCTTAGTCTTCTCATCATAACCAATGAACACAAACTTCTTGCTCTTATCTTCTAGCTTTGTCCTCAACTGATCCGGTATGTGTGCATATGCAACACTACCAAAAATCTTGAAATGAGCCACTGATGGCTTTAGACCACTCCATGCTTCCTGCGGAGTCTTGTCATTCAAACTTGAATGTGCACATCTGTTCTGCACGTACACTGCACATTGTACGGCTTCTTCCCATAACTCCTTTGGCATGTTCTTTGTCTTTAACATGGATCGGACCATATCCAGTATATTCCGGTTCTTTCTCTCAGCTACTCCATTTTGTTGGGGTGAGTATGGCGCGGTCAGAAACCGCCTTATCCCGTGTTCTTCACAATATCTTTTAAACGCTATTGACACATACTCCCCACCTCGGTCTGAACAGACCAATTTGATGTATCTTCTTTCCAATCATCACTTTAAACCTTTTAAAGGTATCCAGCACCTCGGATTTTTCTTTCAGAAAATAAACCCAAGTGTTATGACTAAAGTCATCAATAAAAGAGACAAAATACCTTTTTCCACTGAAGGACCCCGGAGTTATGGGTCCACACAGGTCGGTATGTATCAACTCTAGAGGCTTCTTAGCTCGGTATCTTGCCATCCTTTGGAACGGGCTCCTCGCATGTTTTCCCAATATGCAGTCTTCACAAAATTTTCCTTCAGAGTTAATCTTTGGTAGTCCCACTACCATGTTTTTCTTCATCATCTCGGTCAGACCACTGTAATGAAGGTGTCCAAACCGTCGATGCCAAAGAGACATCTTATCCTCCACCTCGGCTTGCAGACAGCCGACCTCCATGCTCCTTAAACTCAACTTGTACATTTTGTTCTTCTCCATCTGAACTCGGGCTATCAGACGCCCTTGTTTGTCTTTCAATAGTAGAACTCGGTCTGTCATTAGAACCGAGTAGCCCTTTTCCATCAACTGTCCAATGCTCAGAATATTGCTTTTGAGCTCAGGCACGTAATACACGTCCCGAATTGTACCAACTCGTCCATCCTTTTGCAAGAAACAGATCGTACCTCGACCCTTTACATCAATTTTGGACGCGTCTCCAAAAGTGACATGTCCGGCTTCCACCGTTTTCAACTCCTTGAACAAATGTTTGTAACCACACATGTGATTACTGGCACCAGTATCCAAATACCACTCCGACTCATCCTTTGAACTTGTTTCACATGGGCTAGCATAAGAACTCCTCCATCTCTTATCTCTCCTTTCGCAGCAAAGTTTGACGTCTCGTCAACTCTGCTTTCATCTCGGCAATCCTTAGCGAAGTGCCCAACTCGGCCACAGTTGTAGCATCTGTCCGAGTTGTAGTCCTTTGAGTAGTGACCATACTTGCCACACTTATAACATTCTACATTACTTTGATTCGACCACCGACCTCTTCCACCTCGGCCACGTCCTCTATCTCTCCAGTTTTGCTGACTCGGCTCAGCTCTTTCTTCATTTCTCACCTCATGACCTCGGCCACGACCACCTCGACCATTTCCACGACCAGCTCGTCCACGACCTCTACCTCGGATGTTCTGAGAATAGAGCGCCTTCTCATCCTTAATGGTTGTTTTTGTCTGGAGTGCTTTGTAAGAACCCACACCGTTAATTAAGGTATTTAATTAATTAATTATGTGAAAATAGGAAATGATTCCATAATTGACCCTAATAATTATTAAGAGGCTTTAATAATTATGGTAAGTGATTAAGAATGCTGAAAGTCGCTTTTCGGAAGAAAAGTGCAGATACCGGTTCTGCTAGTCGGTATAAATGCGTACCGAAAAAGTATCCCGAAAAATTAATTTAAGTGCATGATAATTACTAGAATGTTATGTAGGACTTGTAAATCGAGTTTCAAGTCCAAATATTGAGAACTGGTGCTAGAAACTGATACTGGCTATGAAAAGCGCGTACCAGGAAGGTGCTCGAAAAAATGTAATAAAAATATGATAATTCTTGGAAAAATGTGTAGTTTTAGGTTCCAAAGTTTGGGATCCAAATGCTAAGCGTAGCAATTAAAGCTAATACTGCGTGTTTAAGTGTGAGTTGGCTATTTATACACTTACTAAGGGCACATTACCCTTAGATATCAGATTTTCCTTCGTGAGAGAGGCTGACCAGCTGCTTGAGCACTGTTCCATTGGTCTTCTTCACCTTCTCTTGAGCCAAGTTGGGACCTTTGGCATTGATTCTTCTCTTTTCTTCTTGTAAACACTTGGGAATCATCTTTGTGAGGTGTGAGGGTGCCTTGCTTGGGGTTTTAGTCACTGTTTCTGGTCAGGGAGTATGCTGAGTTGGGGTGTCGGTTGAGAGCCACCTTCTTCTTGGTTTGTGAAGCTTCAAGAAGCTACCTTTGTGAAGAAAAGAACCATCTTGTGCTAGCATTTTCGTGTTCTGTCCTAGTCAAAGGTTGAGGGACTGTTGGTGAGCTCCAACAGCCTCTTGGTTCTGATTTTTGAGCCTTGGTATGTTGTACCACCCTTTGATCATGAGTTTTATGCTTAAAAATGGAAGCTTGATGCATGTTAAGGCTAAAAGATGATATCTTAACGTTGGGTAATGTCAAACACACCTAGAAATGCATGTTTAAGTGTTTATAATCGGTAAAAGCCCAACCTTGGAAGGATATCTTCACGAAATGCAGTTTCTGCATTTTGTCGTGAAATATCCGGAAATCTGCCCGTGGAATATCCCGATATTGGATATCCAGATATGGTATCCGGATGTGTGATATTCGGAGATGGGATTCTGGATATCCGGATATTGATATCCAGATATACACAGTGGGATATCCGGATATTGCATATCCGAATATGTACCGGAGGAATATCCGGATATTCTGGGATTTCGTAGCACAGTAGCTGTGATGTGTGTACAGTAGGCTATTGGGGGTTTGTGGACCCTAGATTGATGAAGTTGAACTTCTGTAATTAATGAACTAACTCAGAATCATGTGATTGAGGGCTTGTGGCTTTGTTGGAAGCCTTAAGACATAAATCGTTAAAGGAGAACGTAGTCTTTATGTTAATGCTTTTGAGTTATGTATGTTGATACACTTGCTGGTCCTAAATCAGATTTGTGATCTGCTGTGTGTTGGGCTTGAGCTGTGAGGACTCTTGGCATTAGATAGTGAGCTTGCAAGGTAAGCTTTCGTGTCCTCGATTTAGCCATGTTGTGGTTCCACCATGTCCCATGGGGGTATGGTATATGCATGCTGTGTTACATGCTTTTGATGTTTTGGAAATGCTGTTGAGCTATTGTATGTTAGTGCCTTGTTGATATGCATGGAGGTGTTCCACCTATACGGTAAGCCTGAGTATGTAGAACATACAATAGGGTGAGGTTGTGGGTGAGGTGCAACCGGTGTTCCTTGTACTACATGTAGGAGATAGACGTATTCTTACATTTCTCTGGCCAGTAGAATAGTGATATACACACATGCCCTAGATATCTGTTGCACTACATAGTTTTGGAACTGACAATGATATAAATGCTTTTAGAACTTATATTGCACATGTAAGTGAGCTTGGGGTGGAAGATCCTTGAGGACCCCTTGTCTTACTGAGATTTCTTGTTTAGAGATCTCACCCCACATTTGGGTAATGCTTATTTCAGGTTCAGGTAATGTTGAGATCTCAGGCGGCAGGAAGCCGGAGCTGAGTTAGATTTGCTGTTATATTACGCTGACATGTTGGATGTTGGATATGCATGCTGCTTTATGTTTTTAGTTCAGGTTATGATTATGATTATCTTGTTGAGACGCTATTGATTTGGTGAGCATGGGGATTGTCCATGACACATAGACTTGTTTATGTCTTATTTTACTTGGAGTTGTAATAATGTATCAGGATATGGTCCAGACTACGAGTTGTAGATCCGTGATTTTAAATACACACTTTATTTATATATTGAGGTATTTCAGTAGATGTCTTATTGCAATTTACATACAAGCGATATTTTATGAAATTGATTAAGTAATCAAGATGGTAATTGATAATGACGTCATAATTGAAAAGAAAAAAAATATTCCACATTTTTAATTATGCACCGCT